ATTCTTGAAGCTCATTAATTTAGTGAATTGCCCCTTGAGCTTCCCCCCCCCCAAACTTTCTTTTGGTCTTTTGATACTCGTGTGTGTCAACTTCGGACATTTTTCTAAAAATACATTCATATACGAGTCGCTGACTCACAAACATATTTGTGGTTTTTTCTTGCTTTTCTGGAACTTTCATCGACCGATGAATTATTAAAAAGAAACCATCAAGTTGATATCGTGACACACTTTAACTCTCAACTTCTCAGTTGGCATCATATTTACCATACTTCATCTTAAACCGAGGGGAAAACAACAAGATGAGAAAAGTTTTTCTCACCAATTTTCAAAGATTTTCCTGCCAAAATTAAGAAATTAATTCCTCGTTTGTTAATTTTCCTTATAACCTCTTCCAAGACAAACTGTACCCCACCAAACCACCACCAACTGCACTTCAACTGCGGCTTCAACCGAAAACAAAAGAAAACGAAAAAATATAAAATCTGTGGTAGATCACATACTGTGCTATGTGGCTCGATATACAGAGCACAATTCATTCTCTCAGCGCGTATATACATCATACAACAAAAACGCGTACCATTTCGCAACAATCGCATGTTAATAAATGCCATGAAATGTAAATCCATGAAAATTCGAATTTCTCTTCAGTCTCGTGTTTTCTTTCATTCCAACCCCTACGTGTGTACTGTTTTTTTGCCTACCATCATCGTCGTCATCAACATAGTCACTGTTCGTATGCTTGGTGCTTACAGCAATAAGTTAAAATATATACTTTTTTGTGAGAAAGAAATAAACAATGAAAATGAAGCTTTCAACAACATGATGATGATGATTATTATTGTAATTTAAAGTTTTTTTTTGTATGTGTGTGTACAAGCGTATGAACGGGTACGTGTGAATCATTTAATTTATGTTCTTGCGAATGCAATGAATATTTTTTTATTTTACATTTCTTGAACTTAACTTAAAGGTTAGATATTTGAGTTAAGGAAGAAATTCTACGGATCCGCTCACTTATGACGTCGAGGGGAGCAGGGGGTTCAGAAAAGAACAATAGAAATTCCTGGAAATTCATTGATCTTTTGTGAAAAATGACCGTTAATTTCGGAGGTTGCGGTTTGAAAAATGGAATGTTTGAGGAGATTCACAATTAGTCTGACTTAGTCTTCTTCTACTAATCTAATAGGAAACTAGCTACACTTACCTCTGCCATCATATATGACCATCCCTTGGTTTATCCTATTGTATACACCAAAAGAAGGTTTTAAGGTAGGATTAGATGTAGAGGAATGAGGAGATGAATAACAAGAGATCCGCTTCAAAATTTACTTTCTTAAGGCACCACAAGAGTCTAACAATTCTTGGTAAATTTGAAGGGTTTTGATTAAAGTCTTAAGAATAACCCAAGGGTGCGGAACTGATAAATTAGATTTTGGTAAATTTTGATCATTTCTGATAATTTTTTGATCATTTTGATTAGATTCACACCCTTGGAATAAACAAACCAATGTTTTCTAGACAAAAAGTCTTTTTTAAATCCCCTTCAATCAATTCAGTTACTAGAAATTCCCAAAACACCTCAGTCAATCACCCCCAAGTGACTTTTCAACCAGCTTTTGTTTTTGTAGGTCAATTACTTTCTGTTTCCTTTTTCGTATTCACTCTTTATTTCCATGCATATAGATTAAGTGTGTAAGCGAAAAAATGCTATAGTCAAAGCTAAAGTAGGTAATTCGTGTGAATAAATGAGTTTAGCAAGAAATAAAACATTATCAGAGAAATAATCGAAATAGCTCCCGTTGATTCGCATTATTTTCACTATCCAATCTTGCCTTTTTGTAGTTCTTTCGGAAAAGCTTTAGCGCTTTACACCGCGTGCATTTCTCATTTTTTTCGCATTATGTTACAGTTCTCTTTTTTTTAAAACCATTTTTCTTCCCTTTCAGCCATTAATTTTAATGTGAAGCGATTTGTTGCAACTGACTTTATAGACTCATTCACTTTATTCAAATTCCTCTGCAATCATGTTGAGTCGCTGTGAATTTCAATTTTTTTTTTGCTTGCTTGTTTTATGGAATGATGGGATTGTAGCTTTAGTTTGTCTGGGTTATTTTATTGCTTCAACTTAATTCGCGATTTTGAAAAGCTACTTAGGATCGTTATTAAGGAGGCAGGTCTTGGTTCTTTCTTACTGAGCTTCCTCTGCCTAAGTTCAAAAATTGAACTTGTGGGGAATATCAGCAATAAAATTAAATTTTAGGGGATTATCAGCTTTAAAATTAAACTTAAGGAGATTTTCAACTGTAAAAATTGAACTTGTGGGGAATATCACCAATAAAACTGAGTTTTAGGGGATTATCAGCTTTAAAATTGAACTTAAGGAATTTTCAACTGTAAAAATTGAACTTGAGGGGAATATCGCCAATAAAATTGAGTTTTAGGGGATTATCAGCTTTAAAATTGAACTTAAGGAAATTTTCAACTGTAAAAATTGAACTTGAGGGGAATATCGCCAATAAAATTGAGTTTTAGGGGATTATCAGCTTTAAAATTGAACTTAAGGAAATTTTCAACTGTAAAAATTGAACTTGAGGGGAATATCACCAATAAAATTGAGTTTTAAAGGATTATCAGCTTAAAAATTGAACTTAAGGAAATTTTCAACTATAGAAATTGAATTTGAGGGGAATATCAGCAATAAATTTGAGTTTTAAAGGATTATCAGCTTTAAAATTGAACTTAAGGAAATTTTCAACAGTAAAAATTGAACTTGTGGGGAATATCACCAATAAAACTGAGTTTTAGGGGATTATCAGTTTTAAAATTGAACTCCAGGATATTTTTCAGCCGTTATTCAAATAAACCGTTGAAAAATTCTCCACAATCCAGAACAAGATCCAGTAAACTCAATAATCACCAAATCAACAACCACTAATTGCGTTCAACTCATCAAGTCACAGACAATTCAAAAGCATATGTGCTTCCTCAGCAAAAAAAAAAAAGAAAATTGTAGAAAAAGTCAGCAAAAAGCATTAATTTTAAGTGCGTGATGGACTTTAATTGAAAGTAATTTGTCCGACAATGTAATCATGAAAATTGCAGCATAAATTTCTACATTAAAAGCGTAAAAAACTTTTTTTTTTTGTATTCCCACTCGACACTGTACTTGGTAATAATGTGTATTGTGTGCTGCTTTGTGTATGTATGATGATAAATTTCATTTTTATTATTCTTTATTTTCACCACCCCTCTCATACCCCACAACAGCTTTGTACAACATTTATCCGTGCCTTTTTATTCATTCAAGTGAAAATCGGTTAAATTGAGATTTACACTTTAGATAATCGCTCACCTCGCATATAATTATCATTTTAATGCTTATGAGTGAATCAATTTACATTTCATTCAGCGACTCTTTTTATTCGCAAATTATTATTATACTTAGTAATGTGGAGAGGGTTTGGATAATTGGATCGGGTCAATTTCAAAATGATTTGTGGTATTTGAGGATAAAATTGTCTATCTGTTACTGTTGCTCTGTTTACGTTACAATTTCTAGGTTTGTGTGACAGTTGCTTAGGCTCTGTGACTGTTGATCTGTTTACGTGACAGTTTCTAGGTTTGTGTGACTGTTGATCTGTTTACGTGACAGTTTCTAGGTTTGTGTGACAGTTGCTTAGGCTCTGTGACTGTTGATCTGTTTACGTGACAGTTTCTAGGTTTGTGTGACAGTTGCTTAGTTTCTGTGACTGTTGCTCTGTTTACGTGACAGTTTCTAGGTTTGTGTGACAGTTGCTTAGGCTCTGTGACTGTTGCTCTGTTTACGTTACAATTTCTAGGTTTGTGTGACAGTTGCTTAGTTTCTGTGACTGTTGCTCTGTTTACGTGACAGTTTCTAGGTTTGTGTGACAGTTGCTTAGGCTCTGTGACTGTTGATCTGTTTACGTGACAGTTTCTAGGTTTGTGTGGCAGTTGCTTAGTTTCTGTGACTGTTGCTCTGTTTAAGTGACAGTTTCTAGGTTTCTGTGACAGTTGCTTAGGTTCTGTGACTGTTGCTCTGTTTACGTGACAGTTTCTAGGTGTGTGACTGTTGATCTGTTTACGTGACAGTTTCTAGGTTTGTGTGACAGTTGCTTAGGCTCTGTGACTGTTGATCTGTTTACGTGACAGTTTCTAGGTTTGTGTGACAGTTGCTTAGTTTTTGTGACTGTTGCTCTTTTTAAGTGACAGTTTCTAGGTTTCTGTGACAGTCGCTTAGGTTCTGTGACTGTTGCTCTGTTTACGTGACAGTTTCTAGGTGTGTGACTGTTGATCTGTTTACGTGACAGTTTCTAGGTTTGTGTGACAGTTGCTTAGGCTCTGTGACTGTTGATCTGTTTACGTGACAGTTTCTAGGTTTGTGTGACAGTTGCTTAGTTTTTGTGACTGTTGCTCTTTTTAAGTGACAGTTTCTAGGTTTCTGTGACAGTCGCTTAGGTTCTGTGACTGTTGCTCTGTTTACGTGACAGTTTCTAGGTGTGTGACAGTTGCTTAGGCTCTGTGACTGTTTCAAAACTCAACTTGATGAAAATTCCCATCGAAAACTATCTAGCTTCGCCAATTCAGTCAACATCATTTACGGAAGCCTTCTTTAGAATAATTTCTTGTTTCTTTTTCGTAGGGTTGAGCTTTAAACAAGTTGTAATAAATGGGTAAATTCTTGGTTCGTAATGGTTTAAATTTGCATTTTACAGAAGGTATGAAGAAGAAATTAATGGGTGTATTGAAGGAATTAAAAGGATATGGTGTTATTATAGAAAATTCCATGTTCAGTGCAAAATCTGACTTGATTTTAATGACTCTTAAACTTTATTTTATTATTATAGTCATTTAAGGTATAAATTGTGCGATGGCAACTGTTTAAATACATGAAATTAAGTTTAAAAGCCATTAAAATTGTGTCACGTGATTTTAAAATCCGTTACGAATAATTTTGAAATTTTTCATGCGCACGCAGCTTCTTTTTTTGTGATTTGAATAATTTTTTATCGTTAATTTGAAAACCCCTCAATAGTCACGTGACTTATTGTACGGTTCTAAAGTCAAAATAAAAATAGTAAAAATTTAAAGTTCTCTCAGTTTTACGTGATTAAGGATGTTTAAGTTACTTCTAGTACTGCTTGCAGTTGGTCTAGCTGCTCAAGTCCATTGTGAGAATGTTCCAGCATTCATTTTCGGCACTAAGTCGTGAGTATCAAGAAAATAAATAAAAATTTAATTTATTCACCCTTTTTGAAAATCTAGAATTTCCATGAAAATATTGTGAAAATGGAAAAGCTATTGTGTGTATTGGAGTGAGGATTAATAAGGGACATTGCCTCATATTAAGGATTTGATTGATTGTTATGTGTTACAAGATATTTACATAATTCTGATGTTTTCGTGCCTTAACTACCCATCAATAAGATCCAGTCGTACATGAATATCAACAACTCATTGATATTCAATCATAAGACAACTTTAAAGCCTTTGAATTTTAATGAATTTCAACATCCAGATTCGATAAATATCGAGCAACACGAAAAATCTTCATAAAATGTTCGTTAACTTCAAGTTGACATGCTTAAGCTATAGGCAGCAAGTTTGAGATTTTAATCTTAATCGCATGACATTAATCAGACCCTCGAAAAATCCAATTTTTCTTCTACATATTAATTTTCCTTTTCCTTCCTCTCTCTCTTGAGCTCTATTTCTCTATGTCAAATAATCAATTATAGTTGAAAAACTAAGAATAAGTAAGTTTTTGGGGGTAATTAATTGTGATTATGGGAGGTTTTGAATTGAATTTTAATTGCGTAATGAATAGCTTAAATGTGTATGTGATAAAGTGTCGTTCGCGTATGACTCAATTGAGTGTAGCGCATTTTAGAAAACGAATTGAGTCCTGTGAAAATTAAAATCAATTAATTTGAAATGTAACGACTGAAAAATATTTGAAAAATAACGACAAAAAAATATTTGAAAGTTATGCAAAATATTTTGCGGGTAATTTTCAAATATTTATCGACCGGTATTTTTCAAATTTTCTCTAAACCGTAAATATTCAGACAATCAGCAAAAGCAGCAACAATCTCCTCATACATCCGCAATAAAACAACCAAACACAATCAAATTAATAGCAAAAGAGTAGAGCTTTAGTCACATGACATGAAAATCTATATAAATTACTCGATTCGTGCATAAATTAACTAATTCCTCATCCAAAAATGTACTGTATTTCCAGCCCAACATTTTTACCAACATTACAGCACATAAGCGGTGATGAATTCGTTACTTTAGTGAAATCGCAAGCTGATAAGGACACATTGACAGTCGTATTTGTTGAGAATAAATTGTCAGTTGAGGACTTGAGTCAGTGTAAATTGAGCACGAAGACATGCTTTGAGAATTTACGTAAAACCGACAAGACATATTTGTCATCTGTCGAACATCCAGTCGACTCATTGATCAATGCATTCGGTAAGCAGAAGAGCATTACTGTCACAAATGACAAGGATGTGAAGGAAGTGACTCTCGATGGCGAGAAAATTCTCTTCGTTTATCTTGATGATGTTGAACGTCCAGAAGACTTTTCTGAGCACGGTAAGTGATGGACACAACTTTTTTTTTCGTAGAACTAATTATAAGATTTATTTATGTCCAACAGATAAATTGATCAGCAAGGCACTCGAACAACTTCAATCACAATATGGAGACGTAATTGCCGTCTACACAGCCATTCATCCAACATTCGTAAGTGATTCATACTTTATCGTATAGCTATAATCAGGCAGACAGCCCTGGTTTATTGTGTCCAAAAATACTTTGACTTTGCATGACTTTCTAATCAAAATAGACTTCCTTTTTGGACAATAAATAGAACCATTAAAATTTAATTACTTTAGTCACGTGATTATGAGATTTTTATCGATTTGCACCAAATCTTGCCGTCAGAACAGCATTTTACCTGCTAAACTGACTTAAACAATCCAATTTCTATTCTACAGAAATATTCAGCACACAAAGTCAAGCGTGAAGCAGAGCCAGTAGAAGAAAAGGTCGAAGAAAAAGCAACAGCAGCTCCAGAGCCACCAAAACAAAAGCCAAAGCCACAAGAAGATGAAGTTATCGACACAACAAATACTACAGTCTTCACAAACGATAGACACGTCCTACTTGCATTCAAAAAAATGATCTACGGCGAAAGAAATGAAGAAGTCCAGGATGTTGAGGTTCTTGCTTCTGCATTCACGATGGCCGTCTCAAATGTTAGCGAAAGTGAATTTTTAGTGACATTAACAGCACCAGGACATAAAGTTGAAATGAAAACATCAATTTCAGCTGGAACATGGCAAGTAACATTCAGATATAATGATATGGACGAAACTCGCGAAAAATTACATCCAAGAACAGGTGTTGTAGGCTATGGATATAGTCACGGCTTTGGATGTGGTGATCTTTATGTTGAGAGCTTCACACGTCATCTTAGATTCATTGGATTCCAATTCCAACCAGATTTTGAACCAACAGAAGAGACTCCACTTGAGGACAGAACATTCTCAGACAATGTCTCGGACTGTGTTGGATTCTTTAGTGCTGGAATTTGGGGTGCATTGTTTGTTATCTTCATTATGGCATTTATTATGACTTATGGAATTTCCATGATGTTGGATATCCGCACAATGGATAAATTTGATGATCCAAAAGGAAAGACGATTATCATTAATGCTCAGGAATAAGCAAATTGTTAAGGCTGTGTCGAACAAAATATTCCATTTATTTATGAAAATAAAAAGATTAGTCAGAGAAAGGAAGTTGAGTGTGATTTCTGTTGCATGGAAATAGCTGAAAATTGTTGAATTAAAATTACTTGACGTACATTCTGTAGTTTATTCTAAAATTGTTAATTACACATTTTAAATGAAATATTTTTGTTAATCTTTTTGAAAAATAAAATAGACTGTTGGGTCACACTCGAGGTAGGATAGAAATTGATGGCTGTTTATATTATTTTTATTGATTAATGGAATTAAAATTTGAACAGGAATTAACGGTTTTGTTAAATCTTGAATTTTTATTCAGGACACAATTGTGTAGATTCAAAAATTTAACGGTTTTGTAAATTTTGAATTTTATCTAGGACATAATTTTGTGGATTCAATAAAATTACCGTCTTTGTAAAATTTGAATGCTAGTCAAGCCACAATTTTGTAAAATTTGAAAAGAAATTTAACGGCTTTGTAAATTTTGAATTTTATCTAGGACACAATTTTGTGGATTCAATAAAATTACCGTCTTTGTAACATTTGAATGCTAGTCAAGCCACAATTTTGTAAAATTTGAAAAGAAATTTAACGGCTTTGTAAATTTTGAATTTTATCTAGGACACAATTTTGTAAGAATTTAAAAACAGATTTAACAGTTTTATAAATTTTAAATTGCTGTTATCCATGACCCGATTTGGTGTAATCAGTAAAGACAAATTCAAGTATCAATCATTTAAATTTAAAAAAAAACGTTAAGTTGGTTGTTAATAGTTGCACTTCAAGCTATGATTAAAGACATGATAAGAGAATTTTGATTCCATTTCTCCATGAACAGCATACCTTTTTTACCCTTAATTAGATTTTTGAGGTTGAATGGCTCCTAAACCTCGTTATTTGACTCCTCTGCAAGTCACCAAACATAAAATCTGCTTCCATCTTTGAAAAATCGACGCAAAATATGATCCTACAAACATGTAGCTACACGAACAAGAGGAATTTTTCATTCGAAAGCATTCAAATTTTCTCCAACAATAGCTATAACAAGCATCACAAGGAGAGAGGAGATATTGAGGAATTCAAGTGTATTTCATGTGCTCAACAATAACATTATTTGTATATATGTGAACATACATCTCACTATATGAATATAACAAGCATCTTAAAGGAGGATGAATGAATGGATGGATGTGCACAATTCGACTCTCAAGAATAGCTCGTTTATCTGTGCTACATATATTGTGTACTTCCCATTCACGAGCACTCGCAAGTGTGTGACATAATGATACACAAATCTGATTTGAAATTCACAAAAAAAAATTCCTTTTTCATAATAATGATGAACTTGAACCTGAATGGATGGGAGATGGAGAAATGATGTAGGAAGAAGGATGTTACATGCTCGTGAAGCTCTATAAGAAAATTGTGAGATTTGAGCTTTCTGATCCTCAAAATATTTTAAGTCGCAGTGGTTTAGCTTCTTAATGGTTAATTACATAGTCAGCAGCATAATGATCAAGCACATAGTCCTAAAACTTCATATGCTTCTGATTACAGAACAAGTTGAACGTTACAGAAGTAGAAAAAAAATCTATAAAAGGAACTAATGATGCGCTCAAATCATCCACAACATTTCCTCTACAGCATCTTATGCCATCTTTCTTTCTTCATCATGTATGCATGTATATAAGCTCTCTTGGCCTTTGGCGAAATTTCAATTGTTGAGAGCGTACACAGCATTCACAGACTCTTTGGTTTGAAGCAGACGAAAAAAAAAAAGTAGAAAGATTGAAATTTATGTTATTTGTGTGTGCCTTTATTGTCGCTTTATTTGGTTTTTATATTCTTTTTCTTCCTCATCATACTCTTCAATATATGTTTATTCTTTTGTGAGCACTTCGCCTTTTTGTTTTTATGAGATTCTTCTTCTGCGATGGTTTACCTTCAAGCAAAAATTGGTTTTTCTTCTTTTATTTTTGTTTGCACACCTTCTTGTGTATGACGAAAAAAAAGAATGAAAGAATTTTGTAAGGAGAAAAGGAAAGGAATGAAAGTATAACGAGAAATTGCCATTTCGCCTCAAAATAACACAAAAAAAAACGAGAGTGATGTGAATCTATATAATTGTGGATAATGGTTTTTGTAGCGCATTTAAGAGTTAATAAGTTAGGAACTGGGACTAATGGTTGGATTTCTTGTTTAAATGAGTCATAGGATACATCCAAAGAAGACTTTATCTTGTTTCATATCTAAGATCCTCTGTAATCCTACTCTACATTTAAGAAAACAGTTTGAGGGATTATTGAATCAAGCATAGTTTCTGAAATCTAGTTCATAATCTGGTTAAACAATTCACAATCTATTTCTTAAAGTCACAATTTAGTTCTTAAAGTTACATTTGAGGTCTCAAAGTTACAATCTAGTACTTTAATTCTTAATCTAGTTCTTGAAGTCGCAATCTAGTTCCTAAAGTTACAATCAAGTTCTTAAAGTCACAATCTAGTTTTTAAAGTTACAATTGAGTTCTTAAAGTCACAATCTAGTACTTTAATTCTTAATCTAGTTCTTGAAGTCACAATCTAGTTCCTAAAATTACAATAAAGTTCTCAAAGTCACAATCTAGTACTTTAATTCTTAATCTAGTTCTTGAAGTCACAATCTAGTACCTAAAGTTACAATAAAGTTCTTAAAGTCACAATCTAGTTCCTAAAGTTACAATCAAGTTCTTAAAGTCACAATCTAGTACTTTAATTCTTAATCTAGTTCTTGAAGTCACAATCTAGTTCCTAAAATTACAATAAAGTTCTCAAAGTCACAATCTAGTACTTTAATTCTTAATCTAGTTCTTGAAGTCGCAATCTAGTTCCTAAAGTTACAATCAAGTTCTTAAAGTCACAATCTAGTTTTTAAAGTTACAATTGTGTTCTTAAAGTCACAATCTAGTACTTTAATTCTTAATCTAGTTCTTGAAGTCGCAATCTAGTTCCTAAAGTTACAATCAAGTTCTTAAAGTCACAATCTAGTTTTTAAAGTTACAATTGAGTTCTTAAAGTCACAATCTAGTACTTTAATTCTTAATCTAGTTCTTGAAGTCACAATCTAGTTCCTAAAATTACAATAAAGTTCTCAAAGTCACAATCTGGTACTTTAATTCTTAATCTAGTTCTTGAAGTCACAATCTAGTACCTAAAGTTACAATAAAGTTCTTAAAGTCACAATCTAGTTCCTAAAGTTACAATCAAGTTCTTAAAGTCACAATCTAGTACTTTAATTCTTAATCTAGTTCTTGAAGTCACAATCTAGTTCCTAAAATTACAATAAAGTTCTCAAAGTCACAATCTAGTTCCTAAAATTACAATTGAGTTCTCAAAGTCACAATCTAGTTCCTAAAGTTACAATTGAGTTCTCAAAGTCACAATCTAGGACTTTAATTCTTAATCTAGTTCTTGAAGTCGCAATCTAGTTCTTAAAGTTACAATAAAGTTTCTTAAAGTCACAATCTAGTTCCTAAAGTTACAATCAAGTTCTTAAAGTCACAATCTAGTACTTTAATTCTTAATCTAGTTCTTGAAGTCACAATCTAGTTCCTAAAATTACAATAAAGTTCTCAAAGTCACAATCTAGTTCCTAAAATTACAATTGAGTTCTCAAAGTCACAATCTAGTACTTTAATTCTTAATCTAGTTCTTGAAGTCGCAATCTAGTTCCTAAAGTTACAATTGAGTTCTCAAAGTCACAATCTAGTACTTTAATTAATAATCTAGTTCTTAAAGCCACAATCTAGTTTTAAAAATAGACAAATTGCACACTTAATTCCTCCTTTCTCCCAACTAATTGACTGAGTAAAATCCAACTTAAGAAAGAAATGAACAGAAACAAAACGACGCCACTTTGATGACATAATGTGAAATTGAAATATAAAATGTCATATTTTCCATCCGATAATAAAAGAACAAAAAAAAATGAAAATGTATTTCTTTCCTCCCTTTTCAAAGGCTTCCTTCCAATTTCATTTCTCATATGTTCACTCAAAGATGGAGAAGAAGAAAGAATTTTTTTAAATTATGCAAGTTGATCAATCAATTGTTTAAAGACTGCCTCCTTTAAATCTCAAAGCTGTCACAAACATGCATGCACATGAGGCAATGAAAAAAAGTCATTAATATTGTTGAAATATTTTCATTTTTTTAAGAATGAACAAAAAGTTTTCCTCTTCATTGCTCAACAAAGCCTGAGTAGCACATGCTATTTATGGTAATAATAACAATAATGAAGAAGGGTTCTAGCGAAGCTGAGTGTTCTTTCACGATATGAGACTAAGAGGCCTAATCGATGATCTTATCTATTGAGTCATTGATGGCTAAGATAGTAAGCACCAAAAATGTAGCATAGTTTTTAGTATCTGCCAACTGACTCAAAAGACTCTGGCTCAATTTTAGGTAAATCCGAGTCACATTTGCTTGTTTATTATCTATTCTAGCCATAAAATTAAGCTAGGTACATTTTATCCAATTGTCCACACAGAGTAGGCTCTTGAACCAGCAGTTGCACTTCTATATGGCTTAAAACGATGACCGTTCAAAACACCTAAACTGTTCAAACACCCAATTTTTCTGCGTATAGTTTTTTACTCCTAACGCCCAATGCCCCAAAAGTACGAAAACTTAATTCTAATGTTTGAAGTAATTTTGATTTTCTAGAGATTATACACCCTAGTTGCAGAAAAATTAGGTGTTGTAAATAGGAAATGTTTAGAAGTAAAAAACTTTGGGTGTTTTGAACGGTCATCCTTAATACTTCAGATTCGATGACTTCAAAAAGGTCATATTTCATCCATTTAGAATAGTGCTGTCAAAACTGTTTGTCGTTGCAAATTTTTGGAAATAACTCGAGCCGCATACTGTGTGCGACTTTGGTCATGGCTTACCCCTAATGTTGATAAGACTGATTTAAACCATAGCCATGGTCACGCCTTAGTAATGTGTCTATAAATTTCTTAAAGAAATGCTGAAACTTTCTTTCTAATTTTCCATGACGTCAAAATTTCTCTGCAAATTGCAAGCATTTAATATTTGCTATTTTTACAACGGCTCCTTCATTATGTCATCATCCAACAAATATATCTTTTTTTACTGCCTCCCTAACATTCCCATGCGCACACCTTTAGTCATTCATTCATCGCCATTTCATATAAATTATCATACATTTTTCAAATCATCAAATTCTTTCATA